ACATTTAATGTGTAAATTATAATTATATAATTATAAAATGTCATTTAAGTTATTTGATATTTTGTTTAATACTAATATAAACAATTATATTAATTTGCAGAAAATTACAGAAAATTCTAATTTAGAGAAAAGAGGATATGCTTAACCCAATGTGGTTCTTGTTATTAAAAATCATATTGAAAATTTCTCCAGACATAATCCCATAGGCTCGTACAGTTGTATATAAATATAAATAATGCAATATTTGTTCCACAATATGCTGGAATGAAACCGATTTTGTTATCAACACATATTTCATTGATTTGCAGTTGGGGGAAAAATGCTGTGAACACTCTGAACCTTAGCCTACTGCGTCTGGACAATATTATTTTTGGTATTTCCTTGTGGCCTCGTGTAGAATTCAGTGACAGTTGTACACATCGCTCCATTCTGAATATGGAATAGAATAAAGAACAGAATAAATGAATATGGCATAAAATAAATTTGAAAAAAGGATATAAATAATCAAGACCAAATCTCTTACAGAGCCTCTCCTTCATCCATGGTCGGTCATAAGCAATGCTCCAGAGAAGATGGGACAAGCTTTGTGTATATGCTTGCGCAGTGCCATCACAATTGACAACAAGAGATACTACTTCATCCAGAAACTAGAAGAAGGGTAAGACTCCTCAACTAGACTATTCAGTCCTTAAAATACTTAAAGGAATAGTTCACCCAAAAATGAATGTTTGCTGAAAATGTACATACCCTCAGGCCATCCCAGATGTAGATGAGTTTGTTTCTTAATCATAACAGATTTTGACAAATTTAGCATTACTTCACTTGCTAATCAATTGATCCTCTGCAGTGAATGGGTGCCGTCAGAATGAGTCCAAACAGCTGATAAAAACATCCCAATATCCACAAGTAATCCACACAACTTCAGTCCATCAATTGATCAATCTGTGTGTTTGTAAGAAACAAATCCATCATTAAGACAGTCTGTAATACTTTAATATTGCTTTCTCCAATGAAAAAGTGTCTCATCTGAATCAGGAAAAAAATATGCAAGGATCTTCTAAGCGAAAACAACCCTAAACATTTCTAAACAAATATGTTGGTGGATTTTGATGTGAGAGGACAACAGGATGGACTTTTCCACTGGAGGAAGCTTTATTATGGATTATGGACTCGTTTTTTGGTCAGAAGCAACAGTTTAAGTTTAAACGTTTTAGTGATGGGTTTGTTTCTTATAAACTCACAGCGTTTCAATTCATTTCACAAGACGTTAATTCATGGATTAGAGTGGTGTGGATTATTGTGATGTTTTTATCAGCTGTTTGGACTCTCGTTCTGATGGCACCCATTCACTGCAGAGGATCCGTTGGTGAGCAAGTGATGTAATGCTGAATTTCTCTAAATCTGCTGTAATGAAAAAAACTCATCTACATCTTGGATGGCCTGAGGGTGAGTACATTTTCAGCAAATGTTTATTTTTTTGGTGAACTGTTCCTTTAAAAATGACTGGAATTGTGTGAGCCCAAAGATGCCACCTTGGCAAGGAAAAATATGGATGAAGTATGTTTGAAAATGGTCCATCTTTCATAATTATGCATGGCAGTTTTCATTATAGTGTGCTTAAGTGCAATTTATTGGATTAAACAGCTGGTCTCATAAGGACAAATAGTCATTTCATTGTGATTCTATTGTTTATAATTATTTTCATCGTACCTTCTAGAGGTTTCAGCTATGTGGATCTGGTAGAAGGTGCACATGATGGCCGCTTCTACGCTCTAAAGCGAATCCTTTGCCATGACCGTGAGGGCCGCAAAGAGGCTCAGACCGAGGTGGAGATGCACCGCCTTTTCAACCATCCCAACATCCTCAGCCTGACCGCACACACCTTTATGGAGCGCGGCGGAAAGTGTGAGGCCTGGCTGTTGCTCCCGTACATCAGTGTAAGTGGACCGTGTTCTGCTTTTCCGTTCCAGGCTTCTAATAAATCCAAAAGTCCAGTGAGTTCTGAGATGTGCAGTATGCCATTTAAAAGCGTTTTATGTGCTGAATTCTTCTGTGCAGATGGGAAGTCTGTGGTCCGTTCTTGAGAAGCTGCGGGATAAGGGAAGCTCTATGCCAGAGAGCCGCATACTACACATTCTGCATGGCATCAGTGAAGGCCTCAAAGCAATACATGACAAAGGCTATGCACACAGGTACTGAGAGTAAAATTCATCCATCATTAGTTTTGCCATGGTTCTGCATTGAAGATGGAACCTGTAAAAATAACTAGTTACTTCGTAGTAATTAATGTAATTGGTAGCACTTTCCATTTGTTAACAGTAGTCAACTACATTAGTTAACATGAACTAACAATAAACAATACTTTGCAGTTTCTAAAACAGCAGCAACGGCATTTATGATAAAACATGCCAATGTTTACATAGACTTGGTTCTTAATACTATATATCGTTACTTAAATGATCCACAACTGTGTGTGTGTGATGGTTGTTCATGAGTCCCCTGTTTGAACAGTTAAACTGCCAACTGTTCTTCAGAAAAATCCTCCATGTCTTGCAAATTATTTGGTTTTCAGCATTTTTTTTGTTGCATATTTGAACCCTTTCAAGCAGTGACTGTATGATTTTGAGATCCGTCTTTTCATTTCTTCACTGACAACAACTGAGGGACTCATACACAACTATTACAAAAGGTTCAAACATTCACTGATGCTCCAGAAGGAAACACGATGCATTAAGAGCCGAGGGGTTCTTTTATATGAATCCTAGAGAGACTTTCAATAGAAGTGACCCAAAGAAGATATTATATCATAGTTATGTAGATAACAAAAGCTGTACTCGTACTGAACTGATAACTCCTGAGGAATATCCTGTTTTCAGTCTGAAATATGTACACTACAATTCAAACTTTTTTTTAAAGAAATTAATGCTTTTTTTATAGCAAGAATGCATTAAATTGATAATGAGCATATTAGAATGATTTCTGAAGGATAATGTACATTTGTCATCATGTACAATGTACATTTGAATGTTTTCCTGTTGTTATTATCACTCATGAGCTTTATTTCTGGAAACAGGGACTTGAAACCCACCAACGTTTTACTGGATGAGAACGATCGCCCTTTGTTAATGGACTTGGGCTCCATGAACAAGGCCAGGATTGAAGTTCGGGGGTCGCGGGAGGCCATGACAGTCCAGGTTAGAGCAGAAAATTGTCCAGCGGCACTTATCAATACATTTTCAGCCAATCAGAACATTAAATGAATCCTGTTTGTACACTTGCTCATTCAGGATTGGGCCGCTCAGAGGTGCACCATCTCGTACAGAGCACCAGAGCTCTTTAATGTGGAGAGTCACTGTATCATTGATGAGAGAACAGATATTTGGGTAATTCTCGTTTTTGTGTGTTTTTACGAGTGTAATGGTTATTTACGTTTCAGCACTTCATTCTCAAAACAGCGTGAATGACAGAATCCTGCAACAATCCAAGCCCACCCATGACATGTTGTTTTATTGCTGTTCAGTGTGTTTAGTTATGTCTGTGCAGGGCTAATGTTAGCAAACTTTGTCCTTTCTTATCTTTGCTCCTTCAGGTCAGCATAATGTTATGTCTCTGGCAGTCTGTTATGTCTGTTGTAGGTAATCTTTGTATTTTGTACCCTAGTCTCTAGGTTGTGTGTTGTACTGTATGATGATGCTGGAGGGACCATATGACTTGATATTTCAGAAGGGTGACAGCGTGGCTCTCGCCGTCCAAAATCCAGTCTCCATTCCACAGCCGTGCAGGTGAGCTCAGGATCTTTCAGGGCCATTATTGTGTAAAATTTAACCTCTGTGGTCCTCATGAGAAAAGGCAAGGCAAGTTTATTTATATTGCACATTTCATACACAATGGTAATTCAAAGATGCTTACATATAAGGAAATAAAGTACATTCAGCTCATTCAGTAAATGCACAGCTAAACAGATGTGTTTTGAGTTTGGATTTAAATGTGGCAACTGTTTTAGCAGATCTTAGCAATGCCAGATCAAAATTTTTGTCGATCTTACAAGAAATATATAATATTATGAATTATAATTTTAAATAATATTATAATATTATTTTAACTGATTTTCACTCATTAAAATGTCCACATAGTGTAACTTAAATGTGGAATATACATTTTTTTTTAAATATAATATTTTCAACGAATTTTCCTTCATGAAAAAATACACATACACACACAAAAAATTGTGTAACTTAAATGTGAAAAATTGTTTTAAATAATATTACATTTAAAACTATATATATTTAAATAATATTGTTAAATTATATTTTTAACTAATTTTGCACATTACACATAAGAAATTGTGTAACTTACCAAAATGTGAAATATGTTCAATGATATTATATTAAATTTTATATTCAATTCAATTCAAGTTTATTTGTATAGCGCTTTTCATGATACAAATCGTTGCAAAGCAACTTTACAGAAAATTAAGTTTCTACAATATTTAGTGGTAGCTTATCAGTGGTGACTGTCAGTTAATGTACATATGGCAGAAATGTACGGAAAAATCAATTAAAGACGTAATCAAACAGACGATGAACACTATTAACAGCAATTAGTATATGATGCAATCAAACTTATAGCAAAATTTGGTAGTTCTGTATGTTGTTTCAGGGTTGGCATCATCTGAGGTCCTCTGAGGGGTTATATATAATATTAAAATACATTTTATTTAAGATAAATATGATTTAAAATATTTTATTTCACACAGTTTTATGTGCAATTTTTTATGTGGGAAAATTGGTTTTAAATATAATATTAGAATGTATTTTTTATATTTTATAATTTTCCCTCAAAAAA